CCAGGAGCTAACAGCAGCTCAAGCCTTTCCATAGGGTAACACCTCAGATGAGCTTAAGTGCCTCCAGCTGGAGCAGCTGCCTGAGGGGCTGCATTTCTGCCCCATGGCCTGGGAAGGGAGGCCCAGTGAGGGGGTGACTGCAGCAGCCAGGTGTGCCCCGTCACATCAGCCAGGTGTGCCCTGTCACATCAGCCAGGTGTGCCCCGTCACATCAGCCAGGTGTGCCCCGTCATATCAGCCATGTGTGCCCTGTCACATCAGCCAGGTGTGCCCTGTCACATCAGCCAGGTGTGCCCCATCAGCCACCAGCAGCCAAGGCCCTGATGGACAGGGGCTGTGCAGCAAAGAGGCTGGGCTGGGGGTGTCATGTGGTTGCAAGGTCAGTGGGTGAAGGAGCTCTGGGACGTGGCCTGGACTGTGCTGTGCTGTGCAGTCAGGTAGGGGAGAGACTTTTTATTTTTTCCTTTTCCTCTTCTGGTGAGTTGTATTATAGGTGTGTAGAGAGCTGCCATTGTCTCAACAGGGCTCTGAAGCGTTAGGAGGCCTCGGTGGCCAGGAGGTGGCTGCAGGTGCTGGCAGTGGGTGGCCAGGAGGTGGCTGCAGTCCTGTGGCTGGACTGAAACGTGTGTGCACTGTGAGGAGTGCTGGGCAGTTGGGATTGTCCTGCAGAGCTGGTAAAAATGCTCCCTGTGGGTGTTAAGGATTAAAATGTAATTGACTGTTAAACTGTAGCCATCTGGAGCTATGGTGCTTGAATTTGCCTGCATTGAGATGAGTGTTGGTAGCTTTGAAAAAGCCGGGGTTGTTCAGAGACAGCAGAGTCTAGATGATTTGTCACTGAAAAAGAAATATTTTAAAGACTCTGAAAATGAACAATATGTATTGCTAGATTGATGATGTATACAGTATTCATAGGCTAAGAAGTATTTTAGGCTTTCAGTAGAAGACAGGTATTTGGTTTATCTTTTCCTCACAACGTGACTGCCAGGTCCTGTAGAGCCCCCGTGCTAAGTAACATCTTGCTGTGACACGTAAGGGCTTGTTAAGCTGCGCACAGTGCCTGTCCCTGCGCTTGAACCTGCGTCAGAGCAACATCTGGGCAAACCTTGAGCGTATCAGTGTGCTGTGGATTAGCAGTCTGGGCTCGTCATCAAACCCATGTCCGTGTGTGGCCACCCTGACGCACGGGGTATCACAGAAGATCCCAACCTTGAATAAACGGGCAGGATGGGGAGAGCAGTGGGAAATGCCTTTCAGGTAGCGGGCAGTGAAGTTTTAATGGGCAGGGAATGCCAACATGCGCAGCCTTGGGGGCTGCCGCAGCCCTGGCAGCAGTGTTGGCTGGGCTGACCTTCCCTTTCCAGCCCTGCGGGACAGGTGATTCGCACAGCTCGGCTTGGGCCCAGGTCCTCGGGTAAGGTTAGCAGAGTGAAAATGGTCTAGCTGGATCTGCTGTCAGGGGCACTCCAGGTGTGCTCAGGAGCTCCTGCCTGGAGCCTGGGCAGGTGCCCAGCTCTAAAGGACAGGCTCTGGTTTTAGATATCTTCATTGAATACTCTCTTCAGCACTGTGTAATCTGGAAAGCTTCCATCTTCCAGATCAGTTTTCTTGATTAATGTTTAAAGGAGTACTTGTCTACTTGCTGCCTTTTATTCTCAAAGAGAGCCAGAGATGTTTTCCATGCGACCCTGTTAGGCCTGGAGCTGACCCTCTTGCCCACCCCGGTGTCCAAATTTGCTGTCATAATTAACTCATTACTGTGTTTCAACTTCAAGCAATCCTAAAATACTGGGTGAGACTAAAACTAAACTATGCTCTCAACATAGTCTTGTACTTCAAGAAAACCAAATGATGCAGTTTCTAACTCACTAATTAACATGGGCCATCATATTCAGAAGGGAAAACTTTGAGAACTTGAAATAGATTCAACATCTCTTAAACTTGTGTCGTATGCTGATCCAGGAAGGAGGCTTTCCAGGACATGGAAGGGAAAAAATATCTGTAGTTAGTAAAAGTAGCCACAGGGAGGCAAGAAGATCACAAGCAAGAAACTGCACGAGGCTTCCTAAAGTCTAGCAGCTTGTGAAGACAGCCTGGACCTGGGTTGTCCTCTCCGTGGTCTTTCAGCTTAATGCCACTGCCCTGCATAGTTTGAGAACTGCTGTAAGAAGCCAAGTGGTTAAAGCAGAAAAACTGAGCAGCCTCTTGCATCAACCTTTTCTACAAGGTGCAGAAATCATTTGCTGGCTGTCCTCTAACTGAAGGACTCTCAAGTTCAGGTTCTAAGAGAGAACAAAATGAACCATTCTTGCAAAAAGGCAATTGCTTACAGTCCTGGTTGTGGAAGGATGTCAGTGATCCAAGTCAGTATTATGCAAAGAGAAGATATCAGGGTGACCTGTTAATTCAGCCCCTTTAAACCACTTAAAAGAGGCCGATCAGAAAGAGCAGAGTTTATAGACAAAAGCAGTCTAAAAAGCAGTTTCTAATAATTATTTTTCTTATATGAACTACATCTGAGACTTTCATCATCCTTTGAGTACGTTATTTCGAAGTCTGCTTTATTGCAGCAGGATTCTAGAAACAGGACCTTCTCCCGTGGTAGTGACTCCCTCCTGCCCGATTTGGGGAACGGCGTTTGTGAGCGCTGGGCTGGTTTGGTTGGAGCCAGCTCGTCTGGGCGGCCGCTGCTTGTGGTGTGACTGAACGTGCGCCCAGTGCCAGGGCTGAGGAGAGAGCACCCAGCCGCTGCTCGTGGTGTGACTGAACGTGCACCCAGTGCCAGGGCCTAGGAAGGCGAGAGCAGCAGCTCTCTGCAATGACAGAAGCCCCTGTCCCCATGCGGCCGCCGTGATGCCCACCCAACCTGCACCCTGCGCTTCCTCGTGCACAAGGCGCCTGCTTCTCCTCTGTTCCTCGCCTGTGGCAACATAGGAGCCGACCCTACACTGAGGTCCTGGGGGAGGCAGGGGGGCAGCTCCTGAGCTTTGCTTCAGTAGAGCTGCTGGGTGACCTGTAGGGGAGCTGAGAAGCCCCCGGGACAACGTTCTGTAGAAGCAGTGTGTGAAATGGCAGCAGGTCACTTTGCAATTACTTGTTAATGTGACTGCAGGTGAGGGCTGGAGGGGAGAGGTCAAACCACAATTCCGTAACATTTGCTTTATCCAGAGCAAAGATTTATTCACTGAAAAGATTCCTACACATCCAGAACTTCATTAGCATAGAGTGCACTCCAAGTTTTCCTTATTTTTTTTTGTGCCAGTTGCATAAACTAATACAGAAACCTTTGTTAATACTAACAATTTTTAATTTAATAGCAATTCTGGAAGACACTCAGTTGATAGAAAATATAAAAAAAAAATTTACTGTACAAAGTTTACATCACATTTGAAAAGAAAAATGTCCATTTTCACCATGTTACAGACTCCATTTACATTCACTATTGACGTGTGGCTATTGTAGCAGCATTGTACAGCCAGCTTCACATTGACAAGTCTAAAATGACAGAGGCTTTTACCATGCTCTTTGCTCGTTCACATCTCTGCAGGAGGACAAGTGACCACCAAACCATGTGGTGTAATGGCCCCACCTGCTTGCACAGAGTCCAGCTCCACGGGCTTCAGGCCATTTCCACCTGCCTTTTGTCACAATAACCAAGCCCAGAGACAACGGTCAGTCCTTGCTATAAAACACTGGATCTTGGGGGCTGGCTCTGCCTTTAAAAGAGCAGTTTAGAGGAGCTAAACACAGGACCGAGATGAGGGTGAAGTGGCCTCTCAGTCGCACAGTTAAGGCAGGTTTTGAGCCTTCCCGCACCATGGCGGCAGCGCGGAGCTCGCGGTGGCTCTTGGAGCCCACGGATTCTCTAGGGCTGCTCCGCCATCTGTGTTGGGGAAAGCCTGAGGGTGCCTATTGCTGCCTGGGGCTTCCCTGCTCACAGTGCGGCCGATGCTGGGGAGAGGTAAGGAAACGCTCAGCGCTCGAGGCCAGACGTGGCTTCCCGCCTTGGGGGAGCCCTCGTGGCACAAATGAGCAGTGAGGAGGGGGCTGGGGCTGCTGCCACCTCCAGTGCCCAGAGGGAAATGGGTCCTCGGGAACTGGAGGCTGCAGAGCAACAAGTTGTTCTCAGTAGGAGTGATGCCAGAGGAGGTTTGTGCTGCCGAGCTCGTGGCGCGGCTGTTGCCAGGCTGTTTTCCCCACCTCAGGCTGTGCTATCACTATCCAGGCAGTACTTGTGAGGAAACAAATTCTGCCTAAAACTGACACTTGTGTGAGAGAGTGAGCAGCGGCAGGGTTAAACGCTGCTGTATGTAGAAGGGTCTTATTTGCTTAATAAAACAAAGTGGCAGGAGAGGGAAGATACTGAGTACTGCAGTGCCGTGCTGGGCTACCATCAAACCGGCTCGCTGTTTTACATTTGAGATGCATTTACAAACTCATTCCAGCACGATGCCCGTACAGGGAATGGCTGTAGACATGCGCACACAGAGCTGCTCTCTACCCAGCTGAACATGGGAATTTTTTGTGCCGTCGCCATCCCACAGTCGCCAGCCGGTGCTGCTGGCCCGGCTGCCTTGGAGGGGAGCAGAGCGCCACAAACGCAGCAGGGCACCAAAAGAAGCAGCCTCTGTGTCAGCAGTGTAATTAGGGCCCCTCTGGTGCCGGGGGGCAAGCAGGAGCCCTCACTGCACTGCCTACAATTGCTGGGTCTGCAAGGGGCCGCTGCGCCTGCCGCCTTCGCCGTGGTAACGAACGGGCTGGAGCCCCTTCAGCCTGTCCGTCAGGCTCGGGCGTGTGGTTTGGCCTTACAGTTATCTTCCTAGGTGCAAGGTCTGCAGGGCAGCACGGCGCTTTGGAAACGCCGCCGATGCAGGGCCTGGGCTGGGATGCGCCCGAGGCATCGGGCCGGGTTTGGCACCTGGGCTCCAGCGCTTCTCTACCCATGGAGCTGTAGCCAGGCCTAGCAGGGCACGCGGGGCTGGCAGTGCGCGGGACGCACGTCCTGCTCCGGGAGTCACCTGTAGCTGTCACGGGTGGTTCCAGCACAGCCCACAGGAGCAGGAGGTGCCCTCGGTTCAGCAAGCCCAGAGGCATCACCGCACCAGCCCCTTCCCTCTTGAGGCTGAAGGGGGATTTAAGGCAGTTCTTTGCTCAAAAGCTTTTCCCAGCCGCTTCCTTAAAGGTCAGTCATTACTGGAATGAGGAGCACACACAGCTCTTGCTGTGACGCTGTGCAGAGGAGGCCTCGCCTCTCTCTTTTCCCTGGTATGTAACCTCTGCGATAGCCAGCTCTGCCAGTGGCAGCCCCGCTGTGACTCCCTCCCCACAGCCGCGCAGCCCTCTGGCCACGGGCAACAAGTGCTTGGAGGCACCTCCTGTTTATGCCACAGATACAGCAAGGAACTAGAAAGAGTCTCTTTTTCAGTGCTGTTTGAATGGCGGCAGTTAAACTTGATTCACCTTTTATTATGCTTAAAAAAATATAGTTCACATGAGTATAATGTAAACATTGTTTATGTAGCTGCTGGTGCTCGGGCAGAACTCGGGCTGTGCGAACAAGAGGGAGGCCAGCCAGAGCTCAGCAGCCTCTGTGAAGGTTTCTGGTGCTTTGTGGAAGTAGCAGGTGGACCCCATGACCACAAGACATTACACACCACGCTATAGCTTTTGATTACTTGGTTCCAGGATTCCCAAGCCAAATCTTTCAAAACGCAGGACAACTTTGCTACTGTTAATGCTGAAAAGAGTGGGGAGGGAGAGGAGAAGGGGGGAAGAATTATTTTTAATTCCTTTTACAAAGCTAGAGTCCTATAAAAGGAAATAAAATAGGTTAGATTCTGATCTCGCACAACTTATCATCATGGCAGAGAGGTTTAAGTAATCACACAGCAAACAAGCAGCTTATTCATGCTAACTGCCTTACTGGAAAGGCAGCACGCAGCTCATCTGCCTCAAAGGGGTGAAGTAAAGCCTGGAAAACCAGGGATTTCTTTTTTCATAAATGTCTGCAGTGCATCAGATGCCTGACAGTTATTTTCAATGAGCACTGGCTTCCCTTGAGGTGGAAGGGGAAAAAAAGGATTTAAAGAATTTCTTTACGGGAAAGGAACATTTGAATAAGATGCTTTAAAAGACCCCACACTGTTCTTTTTCAGACTGCAGCAAGTTCATGGAGACACCATTTCCTCCACATTCAAACAAGCAAACAAAGCTGCTGTCACCGGGGCAGCTCCCGGGGGGCTGAGCAAGGCTCTGCCTGTCCGTGTCCCTAAGGGAGTGAAAAACAGCTCCCTACAACCAGGTTCTTGTCGCATCCTCCTTTGGCTCCAGCCTTTCACCCCAAAAGAAGTGCCTTTTTTTTTTTTTTTTTTTAATTGGGAATCAATAAAAAATGAGAAAAGACCTTTCCTAAAAAGGCACATATTTGCTATGCTGGGTACAGTTCTGCAAAGCCCCTAATGCTCAATCAGGCATTTTGTTCAGAGAAGATGCAATCAAAAGCCAATCGTGAAGTAGGAGCAGTTGGATTAGCGAGGAGGGCAGCACGGGGACAGGAAGGAGCCTTTGCTTCCCTGCTCCTCCAGGGCTGGCGCTCGCTCTGAGCCGCTGCAGCCACGGCCCCTGCTCTGCCCCGGCTGCCACCCACACTCCCAGGCCTCCCGCTGGGCCGCCCTGCACCCTTGGAAGTGCCCCGGATAACTCGGCACCTTCCCCTTCGGTGCAAGCCCCAGCCCAGCCCCAGAACCGGGGGGCCTGGCAGGCTGCGCGGCGGTAACGAGCCCGGAGCGGTAACGAGCCCGAGCCCCACAGGATGAGCGCAGCGCCAGGGAGTGGGCGGCACGCGGGAGCCTTCCCGGGAAGGGGGGAGCTGCCGAAACGCTTCGGGGGAAAGGCGGCCACCGTGTTAGACAGGAACTTCTCGCAGACAGTTGTTGTTATTGAAGCTAACAGCCCACACCAAGCAGAGAAAGGCGGAAAGGAGAATTCGGATAAAGTGTTGATTATGTCCGTGGGTTAATTTGGTCTGGTTTTGGTGTTTTGTTTTAAATGGAAGGTGATTGTCCGAGTTGCCGATTAGGATACAACACATGGAAGCATGCAAGGTGGAGCCCGTTATTGCACCAGTAGCTACAACCTACAAAGAAACAGGGGAGGGAAGGGAAAAAGACACCATGAGAATTAGTTATCAGTTACTTAAAGCAAGCCTTTGAGAAATACATATTATAAAAGTGACACCAAAATAAAGCACAGGGTTAGCGCAGTGTTTCCGGAAGGATTTCTCATAGGGGATGTGAATGTTTCTCTAGTTTTGGTCTGACTGACATGGCTACAGGGAATCTCCCAGGTGTAACCTGCCTAAAACAGTTTGCCAGGGCTGAATGTAAGGGAGCTGCCTGCCCCTTCCTTTCACTGGGTGCCAGCCGAGCTGTCAGTGTTGGTAATGAATACTGACACTTAAAATATTTCTCTGCTCACAGCATGCAAGGAGCAGGGGTGTTAATGGGCGCAGATTTACATGAACTGGCGTTTCCTGGCAGCAGGAAGAGTGTCCGTCTGCCTAGGGAAACTAATCAGGATAACGGCTGCATTAGGTGTAATTGCACAGATCCACAAGCTGTTCAAGAACAAGGTCTTATGGAAACGCTACTGCTAAGTAAGCGCTTGGCAAATTTAGGTCTGAGCGCCCAAACGGGGAGCATTTCCTCCTGCAGCCATTCCCGGTGCAGCGCCGAGGACGGCGCAGGGGCCGGGCTCCACGGGGTGCTCAGCAGCGCCAAAGCCCTCGGCACAGGCAGTGACCCCACGCAGCGGCGCCCGCTGTGCATGGCAGTGAGGGTGTGAGAGCGTCCATGCACAAAACCCGAGGGCGTGGGGGTCCTGCAGCACGGAAAAAATACCCCCAAAGGCCTCTGGCACACTGCACACACGTTACGGTTTGATGAAAACTTATAAACTAGCACCCTCCTGTGAGAGAGTGGGGACCAGATTTACAAGAAAAAAAGTCACAAGTGAGGCTGAATGAAGGGCCCGGGCCGCAGAGCTGAGAAGCACTCGCTCCAGGAGCTGGTGCTGCAGAGCTGCTGCTACAGCCGTGTCCAGGATAGGGCTTAAGCGTGTGGAGCAAGAGCGGCTGGGCACGAGCCGGGGCCTGCTCGGGGTGCCGAGGCGCCCGCGTGGCAGAGCCGGCCCTGCTCGGAGCCTGGCCGCGTCTCCTGGGCCGTCCTGCTCTGCTGCGCTGCCTTCTCGTCGGGTTTTAATGCTGACAACTGAAGCACTAGAACCATTCCCATTCCAGTTAGAAGTTTTTAGATATCACCCTGTGTTAGGAATCCTGATAATGTTATGGATATTGCACAACAGACAAAAGGTGAGATTTTCAACCAAAACTTGAAACAAACCACATCTGCTAAGGCATAAAATGCCATGATAATTGCCATCCAAGCAAACAAAAGTACTTAGGTAGTTATGGTAAAATACTGCAGGAAGATGAAGTGTTACGGGATTAAGGGAGTAGATTAAACATCAAAAAGGAAAGAAAAAAGAAAATAAGCATTAGAGGTCTGGCTGATGAAAATAAATGGTGAAAACACTACTTGGTGACTGTGCACTGGCTGCAAACACGTCTGGTTTCCCATAGATCTTGTTTTTTAAGGACTAAAGCACCAAGGTCACCAAAGCATATCTTGTCTGAAGAAAACGTTAAGACCTTCCTGATGCTGGGCTGGCCTCCCTAGGCTGGCGTTAAACACCGCCCCCGGGCAGGCCTGGGCACTGCCGCGGGAGCTCGATGCAGCCTGGGGGATAGGGGCGCAGGACAGGGCTGGCGGCCCAGGCGCTCCCGGGGCCGTTGGCTTCTGCCTTAGCCAGGGAAGGGCCGCGCGGGAGCACGGGCGGGAGCACCTCGGACTGGGAGGGCGGTCGGCTGGGAGGCGCACAGCTTTGGGCCCTGTCAGCCCCTGCTAGGGCAGTCCCAGCGAGAGAGCCATTTATGCTCTGCTCTGATCTATCACAGGAGGCAGCAGCCATGTGTTTTTGAGGGATTCGTCCAGTTTAGACAGTTTACAAATGCACAAGATCTTATAAACTATGTTTTCCCCCTTTGCAACAAAGGACGTGACTGTGGGAGCATAGTGAGCTGACAAGGATTTAAGCTGATGTTTCAGTATTTATCTTTATTTGGTCCAAATCTTGATGTGACTCCAACTTACGTGCAGTCTAGACACTGCAGCCTGCTACTGGCTGTCAATTTACTGTGTGTATCAAGCAATTGAGAGATTCCGGAGATAATTACCACTTATTTTGCTTTTCTTCAAAGTCAATTATTCTGAGTCAGCAGTAATGCTTCATTTATTTATCTGCCTGCGTGAACGGGGCACTCTTCCATGAAAAAGAGGAGGGTTTTCTCCTGCCTACGTGCTCCTTGGAGGAGGCTGCACACTTAAGGTTTGCTCTTCCTTGGCAGCTCGGGTTCAAGGGCAGACGGTGACATGCAGCGCAGGCCATTTCCAGGCCCGCTAGTAGATCCTCCCTTGGAAACCAAACATGCAGCTGAGCAAGTAAGGATTGAAAGGAGGGAATCTGTTGCAATAGAAATTTAACTGTGTGAGTAGAAATTTCAACTGTGTGAAACGAGTGCGTGTTTTATTGCCTAATTTCCTAATAACTAGAGACGCAGAGCAGTGTGCTATTACTGTCCTAGCAGAGGTCTGACAGCTCCCAGAAAGGCAGGTAAAGGACAGAAATTATCATGTAGCAAACTGGGCAGCAGAAGCTTTCTAAGAGGCAGCGGGTACTCACTCTGCAGATTTCCAGAAGTGCCCTGGGTGGGAGAGCCGACGATTCAATTTTGGCAGCTTTTCGAGCATATCCATAAGGACAGTGAAGCTGGGTCTCTCACTAAGATCAAACGACCAGCACGCTGAGAGAATTTCCTGCAAAGGATATTTGTGATTCATTTTATATCCCCAGTCAATTCATAGGTTAATCCCCCGTCCACTCCGATGTTAACTAGTCATCTGAAGCTGCTGCTTGAGCACTCTGACCTGTGGGAGCCCAGTTGGAGATAGAAACAAAAGTCTTGCGTGTTCTTATTGATGAGTACTCTGGATAGTTGTGGACGTCCAGTTACGCGTGATGGTTGTGGGCAGAGGCCAATACCGATCTGGCAGCTAATTCTAACATGTTCCCTGTCCTGCTCATTTGCTTGAGCACTGCGGTGAGATAAACCTCTTTCAGCAGCTCCCTTTTCCCCAGCATCCCTGGTAAACAACTGCAAGGATTCCTGCAACTTAGGTACTTACGTTGACTTCCTTGCCCAAACTAACTGTTGAAAGGACTTGTTTCATTCCTTCACCACTCCCGATTTGCCAGATAAGTGCCTCTGCAGGCTGGTTTTTGAAAGGCCATTCTCTTGCTTGGAGCTCATACCACACAGTCCTGAAACATCAACAGACACATCAAGGCTTGGTGGGCTCTGACGGCTGCAATTGCTTCACGCAGGCTCTGCGAGGGCAGCACGTTGTGCAGCAAATCGGTCCCGTCCCGCCACCCGTCACTGCCAGCCCACGTCTGCTGCCTAGGAAAGGAGAAGGCCTCCTGGTGCAGCCTTGAGAAGACCACCAGTGACCTGCACAGCACCGGTCTCTGACAATTCAGCGAGCTACATGCTGCTCCTGTCCATTTCTTACCCAAAAGCATAGACATCGGCAGCTTTGGAGAAAGGCAGCTTGTCTTCATCCTTCCCAGGGGCCATCTCACGAACGATTTCAGGGGCCAGGTAACATAACCAGTCATGAGGCAGCTTCAGTTCATTCTCTCTCCTGAGTTCAAGATAAAGAAGTGGTTCTGAAAGACTACTTCCAATTCAGAACAGTGCAGAGCCCATACCTGTGCCTCAGCTACTACCTCCATTTATTCAACTGTTCTGGCTGACATCTATTTCCAAGTTTATTGCCCTGTTAAAAAACATCTGCATCTTGGCCTGTAACTTTCTAGTCCTGTGCTGCTGAAATGTAAGCAGGACGTTAGAGGAAAGTGCAGATTCCCAAATGTGTGTATGTACAAAACCGACTGACACCACTTGCTTGCGGCATGGCAATGAATCTAAATAAAGTCCCCTGTTTGTTCACAAGTTGTAACTATGGAAGCGGACCCAGGCCTGACCTTTCCACTTACCTTCCTTCCTGAACCACTCCCGAAATTCCAAATAATCCGAAGTCAGTGATTACAACTTTCCCGTTGTCATAGAAAACATTCTTGGATTTCAGGTCTTTATGTACAATCCCCTTTGCATGAAGATAGCCCATGCCCTGGAAGAAAGTTTATTTCATTTGGAGATGTACATTTTTATTTGGTGCTCTGCTGTGCAGGGTGCCCTGCACCCAGGCTGCTCTCAGGAGCTCTCTCTCTCTCTCTCACTGCCTGCACAAGTGAGTTCTTGCACGTGGGGATGCGGCAGCTGCCTGATTTCCACAGGGTGCAAAGGAAGCCTGCGAGGAAGCAGGTCTCAGTTCAGTGCTTCACTTGGACTTGTTTCTGATCCCCTGCATAGCAGGGCAGCTGGGAGGTTGCAGGGGGACCCTCTGGGCATTACGTGCCAGGAGCCCTCCCGAGTCCTAGGAATTCTGTATGCCTGAGAGCAAGGAATAACTGACACAAGCTTGTGCAGCAGTGGACTAGGTAAATCCATGAGGTAAGTGGACTACTGGAAAGGTAACCTGTCCTGCAGGTATTCATGTCTTCACGATTCCCTTCATCTAAATTCTCCATTCCCAGCCTCTTACTGATAACCAAGAGTCTCATTTCTGATCTTTACTGTCCCTTCTGCACCACCTCCTGGCGGTGCAACACACTCACCTTAATGATCTCCTGGGCTATCTGCCTGGTTTTGTTAATATCCAGGGATATTTTGGGGTCCCTCACAAATGAGTGCAGGGTCCTTCCTTTGCAGAAGCTACAGGAAAGAGAAACAAGATTCTTGAAAAACATTTCCAAAATGCTGGAGGGAAAAAAACAAAAGAGTTAACACTGCATATTCAGTTGGAGTTCTTGGCCCAGTGATGGAATTGCAGCCCTCTTCCCACTGCTAAGGCCCTTACAAAGAAATTTAAGGACCAGAGTGATTTACAGCTCTGTGTGTGTGCAAAGGACGCCTGTCGGCAGGAAGTCTTCAAGGATACCGAGCGTTTCTTCTGAGAGCATTTCTCAGGATCCCGTTCTAGGCCTAAGCTCCAGGAAGCAGGAGCCCTGCGCGTGTCCGGAGCTCATGCTCCGCACGCCTGGTGCCCAGTTCCGGGGTCCTCCAGGCGCCACTCGGAAGCGCTCGGGGTCAATGGCCCTGTCAGGGCCGGGGGAGCTCGGATTCACACCCCCAACACCCAGTCGAACCTGCAAAAGGGGCAGAAGCTCAAGATCTACCAGCATCGCATCACTCATCATCTCCCTAATCAGGCAGGGGTCCAAACTGGGGCATGCAGCATGTTCAAACCCTTGAAGCTATCCTTTCTCCACTCTTTTTGGCCAGAAAAATGCGTTTTTATTGGGTTGATTGGCCAGTCTGCCCTGTGGTCTACATTTGCAATCTTTCAGCCTGGATGTGTTCATGTCTGCCATCTCCTGACTGCAGCACGAGCTTTATAACCAGAAATAGTTGGATAAGAAAAGATGTCCTCACCTGGTAATGATTGCTAAATGAGGAGGGTTCATGCATGCTCCCATGAATAGTACCACGTTCTCATGTCGGGTCTGCCTGTAGTTCATCACCTCCTTTTTAAAGAGCTTGAGATGATCCTGGTTGTTTCCATCTATCTCCAGCAGCCTGATAGCCACTTCTCCGTGCCATTTGCCCTTGTAAACCTTCCCCCAGCGTCCCTGACCGATAGGGTCCCCCAGCTCGATCTGTTCGAAGGGAATGTCCCACTCCTGCAGGTAGACACTGGTTTGGCTGGGTTTGCGATAGATCATCCCTTGCAAGTGTGGTCGTCTGTTTGGCAAGTCTTCCACCTCATCCTCATCATCTTCAGGTTCTGATTTATTTGTCTCTGGTTCTTCCACCTGGTTCACAAGTAATAGGAGGGAAAAATATGTCAGTGTGCTGTCTGAGGGGCAGCATCAGCCCACTGGACAATGCAAAGACTGTTCTGAGAGAAGGATTTTAATGGATTGGCTGTAAACTTGTCCGTGTGGCAATGCTATTGATCACTTCAAAAGGAAGAGTCAAGAGCCTCTTCAACTAACCCCAAATTTCTTCTAGGATTATTACACTTATTCCTTGGGCTTTATTCAGAATTTCAGTAGAATTCAATGTAGAATTTCATGGCCACAACTTTCTATCTGCTCTTGTAGCACAGCAGTTGTGATTGTACAAAAGGGTAAACCAGAAAACCTACCTCTGCTTCGCAAGGAGCTCCATCTGTGTCCAGCAGATCAGCAGCACTAACAAGAGAAGCAAGATACAGTTACAGCAAAAATAATACCCACATATCCAGGTAGGGGTGGGCTGCTGCACATCCCCGGAGGGGAGTGGAAGGGAGTAAACAGAGAAGAGATCTTGACAGCAACACCGTAGGCTGGAGACCATGACTGCTGTGCCTAGCAGAGAGGGGCTTCTAAGCTTTACTTTGCAAAGTGAAGGACGAAGACTTGAAATGAAGACAAGGAGAGCAGTGTGGCTACAGCACTAGCAGCAACACTCCGAAACACCTACAAAGGGCTAAGTAATTGCGAGTGCTAGTGAAGTGGATTTAAAAACTTTTGCATGTCCTGCAATTCCCAGTGTTTTAGGTGTCCGCTTCCAGCAGAGTGTACTGAGCTCTTTAAACTGTAAAACTTGTAACTTCTGTTTCTTTGGATACTTCTGAGCTGGGGAACTCACACAAAAGCAGAACCACATATTAAAGGCATCAACTTCTTATTCTCTCATTTGAAGCAAATATCACGCTCAGCTTTATAAAAGTGCCAAGAGCAGTACCATCCCTCCGACTAAAATAAACCCTTAAGTCTTCAGAGGGGAAGTTGAGCAGGTTACTTAGGGTTTGACCAAAACATACTGCTTCCATGTCGAGATCCGAAGATTATCAGGTAAATGCTAAGCAAAGAAAAGAATTAATAATACTTACTTAGTGTTTTCAGATGTTTCTGGATGCTGTGCTACTTGTGCAGGACTGGAAATTTCTGAGAAAATAAAAGCATTTGTGATACATATTTTGTACTTTACTCCCTTATAGGTCTGAAGTTTTAACAGTTGTAAAAATGAATATTTGCTTTTTATTCACAAATTATAAAGTAACTGAACTATAGACTATAGGATTTTATATCTTTATTTAAAACTGTGCTTATCTTCCACAGTACTTACATGTCTGTGTACTGACCAAGCCCAATCCTCTTCCCATTCACTGACTGATCTGTAACATCTTGTAAGATACTCCTTGTCTGTAATCGGCTCACGTTCCTTTAAATTGCCTTAGACAGTCAGAAATGCTTAACTCCTTGCAGAACCAGGACTACATTTGTGCTGCAGGTCATGCACTGCAACTGCCTCTGCTGTGACCGAATCACCAACCCGCAGGAAGTTCAGCTTGGGCTGCAAAGCCATCCAGAATACAGAGCAAATACTCTGTACCTTATATTTGACATCACCAATTCTCAAGCAGGAAACAAGCTGTTCCCAAAGAGTCATTAAGAATTTCATTTTATATAGGTTAGCTCAGTATTCCTGAATGAGTGGCCATTTTTACTAGCTAGATAACATATCCCTGCAGAGGCAGGGAAGTTTGCTTTTTAAAGGAAGAACATGAGTGTGTGCAGAATCCCATAGCAAAAATCTGCTCTTATGCTACTGAATATTAGGTGTTTTATCCTGGTACATAAATCACACTGCATTAGGAGAAGGAGGTCTGAATTGTCTGATTTATATGCTAAGATAAGAGGAAGCTTTGCTTTAGATACATCTTTGTTTGAAAAGCAGAATCATCATTCTCGGGCAGCATGCGCTAGTTTAAAACCAAGGGCAGCAAACAAGCACAAGTTCACAGGTTGCAAACAGGCAGCACAAGCTGTTAGTAGAATCAACTCACCTGGGAAGATAAATTGTTGTCTATGCTGAATGTAGTAGGCAGCTTTTCCAGAAAGAAAAAAAAAAAAAAAAGAGGGAAGGGAAGGGGGCAAGACAGGAAAAAAAAAGTCCGGTGAAAAAAACAAGTTAGCGGATCATCAGCAAGTGCCCCCACGCAGTTGATGCATTAGTCCCAACTCTCTGTTGGGAAACAGATTAGTAAATTATCAACTTGCTTGAGGGGGTGAATCTCAGCACATGCATTTTTGGAAGGCTAAGGTGATACACAACCATCCAATGAAAGCTCTATTACCGATAAACAAACAGCTTGGAAAAATAATGCCCGTGGACTTCAAGGGACATAGAACCCAGGGATGCTGACAGCAGAGCCTGGTGAGAGCCCTTGTGACGCTTCAGTGCTCCCCTTGCCTTCACTTTGAGCTCTTCAGAAACACCCCTATGAAACTGAAGCTCATGAGCCATCTGCAAGCCAGTTTCATTAGGCTGATAAAATTCAGTGGTTTCAGTAGAATTCTTTACTAAACTCAGGCACTGATTCTGCTCCATCTGAGTTCTCTGAAATAGAAACTTTAACTCAGAGACCAAAGGCTTGATGCAAAATGCAGCCATGTGAAAGGCTGGATGTGGCAGCTCTGGGGTGGCATGGGACTTCATTTCCAGGTAGAAGGAATTCAGTTTATTCTTGCTATGTAAGCCTTTGCCCTTGTCAGGGATATTTGCCTCCGGCAACTTTGGTAAGGACTGCACGTTTACATCCTTAATCTATAAACTATGTAGGGTAAATTTTTTATCGCCAGAGTTGTATGACAAATGCCTGAAAATGAGTGTTAGTTGTTGGTTGTCTTTGGAAGGAACTGGTGAGTCTTCCAGCTCTCCTTTTCACGTTTTGCTCTAGCAGTCAGCTTGCTCATGATTCAAAGCCACTGGCAGCCAAACAGGGCAAGCAGCATGCATTGCAATACAAGGAGAAAATGGAGGAGCAGATCGTTAAAAAGGAGAAAACTGAAAGATCAGATTATGTAAGAAAGGTGCTGGCACTCCCCTCTAAATAGTTTCCTGAAAAAGTACATTTTATTGTTGATACCAGTTTAAAATTGGTAAGAATAGACTCTTTTGTTGGCTAACTGATTCACCTTCATACCTAGTATAAAATGCAACCATGTTTTCAGAAACCTACGACTACCTAGGAAGTCTTGATCGGCCTCTTCTTTCATGGAGGCCTCTCTGATGTTGGCAATTCTCCTGAAAAAGCAGCCTTACCAGGGAAGTTAAAGCGTCCATCCCTCTGGCCCATGGGAGATGGGTTCGGGGGAGGCGTTGCACTGGGAGGGTTGGAAGACTGGAAGGGTGCTGGGGAAGATGGTGTGGAGGAGGTTGTAGAAGAAGGGTTACTGCTGGAGTCCAGGTGGTTTATTGCTGGTGGGTGCTCCTGCAAAGCAAAGTCCCTGGTGAGAAAAGTTCTCCTCAGCATTTACTGAACAAAGTGAGCTGATTCCAGCCTGCTAGAGCATATGTTTCCTAAGGGTGCAGGGGCTGGAATGATGCATGGCCTATTTTGTATGGAGGAAAGTCTGTCTGCAAAGGGAAGGCTCACATGGCAGCAGGTTGGTAGCTGTGCAGCAAGGAGCTGCTGGCCACCTGCCCCAGGGTGCCTCCTTAGGCACGTGCAGACATGAGAGTCACCCCGGCCACCTGGTACCTTTTTAGTTAGTGCCTTGGGAAGAGTTCCAAACTGCGGCTCCGTCGGTCTGTCCACAGGGTTGTTGATATCTGAAGGGACAGACTCTGTCCTCCTTATTTTTGTTACTGAAAAACAGGTTAGGGAAGAGAGAAGGGGCAGATCAGATTAATCAGATTTCTAATTCTTGTGGTATTATCAATTATGCAGAAGTATTAAGACTTTGTAGAAAACTTACTGGGAAGGAAGGATATTCTACAAGCAGGTGCCTCTTTAGTGCACTTGTTATGACATTTTAACCTGGAAGAGAAAGACTGCATGTTAAATAGCCAGGTGTTCACTCCCCAAAGAGGCAGCCTCCTCTGCTGTGCATCCGCTAACCCCAGCGCGCAGGAAAGCTCTGGGGCCCCGCGGGCCCGGCCATTCATGACCACTACGTATGTCACTGGCCTTAAAGACAGATACGTATCTTAGCATCTCATTTATTTTAACTAGTTTCCTTCATTGATTCCTATCATGAAACTGAAGAGTGCTAAAAATCTTAGTGCTGTGGACAGACAATCACGTCACAGAGTCAAAAACTGGACTCCTCACCCCTAGTCAGGTATCCAGCTCCCACTGGGAGAGCTGGACCAGGCAAGATCAGGCAGGAATCCCTTGTGGCAGGGAGCTAAATTGGTCCCTCCATATGTCAGGCTCCAGCCAAAATACAGGTCATGCCAACACATCCTTTGCCAGTTCAGAAGCTGACTGAAAAGAATGTATCACTGCGAAGAGTGCATCTCATCAAGAAATATATTTGGTGCTGGCAAACATTCATGAATCAAAACGTAAAGTTCTTTTGTAGAAGATCTGTGTGCTCACCTGCAGTACTTACACTTCACCCCGAACATCATGCTTTTCTGACAGACTTGGCAAATCTGAGACAACCAAGACTTCGTAGAGAACCTAGGCAGAAGAGAGGGGGAAAAGATGTCAGCCAGTGTCTACGGAAAACGTGCAGTTTGGAGGAAGGCAGAGCCAGGCTGTAGTCCCAGCTTTTCTAAGAGGGATAAGCAGGACTGCGAAGGGGCTTCTCTCGCTTCTCTAATGAGAGCCCCTGGGTTCCCCTGCGGCCCGCGGAGCACGTGCCACTCACCTGTGTGTCACGGCGAGGCCAAAGTCTCTTCGTACCATTTGTGGGGATCCTTGGGAGAGCTCTGGGAGAACAGAATTGTGGTTAGGGAGGCATTAGTCATGAGGGGCCTTGCCAGGCTGTGCAGAACTAAACACAGCACCTACAGTGAAGGACTAGTAGCTGTGACACTGCTAGCTGCACAGCTGGGACTGGCCTTCTGCTCTAAAGTGACCACATGCTTCTCTTTAATTTGGTTTTCACAGAAATCAGGTAAAGTAAGATTTGGTGGGGGACTCAGATTTCATCCCTCGTATTCTTGTTAAATATTTTTCTTTTTGTTTTATGTTTATGTCTGCCCCATAGGGATGCAGAGAGGAAGTCTGCCCCTTTTGGGGATGCAGCCATTCCAAAACCAAAAAGCAGAACAAACAGGTTTTAAATTTGTCCTCCCAATAGGGATTCCGATTTCTCAATCTCTTACTCTTCAAGGAAACTAAATGCAGTGCTGAGACTTACTAGAAGCTGGAAGTCAGACACTTCCTTCGAGGTGGTTTACCAGCAGTATTACTGTCTGTTAATTTTCAGGCTAGGTCAACAGATTTCAAGGTATTTTTTTACGATGAGAACTATATTATCTCTGTTTTATATATATGGAGTCAGTGTGACCCAGAAGAATACCGAGATTTGTATGTGATCATTTAACAAGTTGATAAATGCAGAAAAGGAGATGCAGACTCCAAAATGTGGCTGGTGCTCCAGGAGTTACAGCACAAGGCTTCCTAGCAAAGCTCACCACTAGGATTCTGCTGTATTGCTGCATTAAATGTATTGCCACATTGCAAATCCAGAGAGGACCCAATCTGCAGCACAAACAGGGCTCAAGGCCGGACAGTGCCACTGCTTACAGACAACCTGTGCCTCTCTCTGACCATAGATGGCACTAGATTCTTTTTTATAATTATTCCAGTGAATTTTTTAAGCCTATGATTTTAAGCATCTGTAATAAATAGTTGTTTTTTGAAGGAACATATTTGCACAAAAATCATCTAGTTTGGTCATCCAAACCTACAGTGAATTAATCATATTAACATCAGCTAAGATTGCTAAACCTTTACATTTTCATTTCACTTTCTTTTGTCTTTATACTTTTTCATTTTTTCAGGTAATTCCTGGGCATTAAATACACTTGTAAGACTATAATATCCTTATAAATTTTTATCCTTAAAAGGAGGGTGAGTAGTTTTCAGTTAGCCCACAGCTCCTTACATTAGCCTCAGGGTTAACATATTTTGCCTCTGTCAGGATGCCCATAATCATGTCAGGAGAGCTAAATTGTTAATGCTAGTGTATTGCCGGGATAAAAGCACAAGTCCTAGTCCTGCCAGTCTTTAAATATATGAGTAGTCCCATTCCGTCACCTGCTGAACTGTTTCTGCAAAGGCTGCATGCAACCACCCAACTTCATTATGCAAAGAAACTTAGCTCCGGATCTCCAAAGAAATGAACTTACAGTGTGTCTAGTGCTAAGAGACACAGACACTCTCTGAGCCTCTAGATGATCAATTAGAACCAAAACTAAAACCTTGCTCTGATCCTTAAAATATCTGTATTCCTTTTTCTGCTCCATTCATATGAAGAACTAGCAGGTCCAAACAAGGGCCCTGTGAGGATCCTGCAGCTCTCGCACAGGCCACGCTGGGATACGAGGCCCTGTTGAGGAGCTCCCAAAGTTGCTGAGATGCTGCAGGTGACTGACAAGGATGGGGTCCTCCCTCCCAGGCAGTGAATCGAAGACAGACTGTGAAAATCTCTTACCGAACCTAGAGGAAAACAGAGAAAAAAAAATTAGCCATTCATTGTATGAGACAGGATAGAGAAACCCAGCACGTCCACTCCACTCCAGCCCAGAGGACAACAACTGTCAATGGAGCCGGGACGCCAGCCCGCTGCAAGGCTCTGCAGAGGTGCCTCCTTCAGGGGAGTCCTCCAGCTGCTGCTGCTCTTAGCAGCCCGTTCAGTAGGAGCTGGATCACAGCAGGACCAGGTCTTACACGGAGCTTCAAAACAAAGCTGTGTGTTGGCCACAGCTCTTTTCCGTTCAAGGTCCCCCTTTTTACCGCTCCCAAATGGGAGCTGCTCAATTGCTGTGTCTGGCAGCGCTTTGCAGGCTGTGGCACGTAGCTCACCCGCGCTCGCAGGGCCTCGTCGCGATGACCCTGCAGCTGCAGCCGCCAGGGCAGCACCGTGGCGCCCAACGGGACCAGGCCCTGCGCTCCGAGCACCAGCGCCCACGAGCGCCCTTCCACTCTCAGCTGGTTCCTCTATGTAACAACGCAGTTTTGCAGTGAGGTCCTAGTCAACAGCCTCTCTGAACAGGTCCTGGAGGTCACAGAGTTACATAAGACACAACAGCCTGGTGCCAGTTACAGAATTTGGATCCTGATTTACGTTTCTCCATCACTTAGTGAAAGCTAGGGTCTGCAGAGGCACATTTCTCTCCCAGTTCACCTGTTAGTTCAGTGTTAGATTAACACCTTTCAGCCCATATATCCCCAAAGAGCAGATCTTAAAGCCTGCATCAATCCAAAGAAAGATACAGCTTGAGAGCCATTTGTTTTCTTACAGAGGTGTAGTTGTTTATACTATAATAAATGAAGGCTTCTTTAAAGCTCACACTAGCAGCTAAAGTCCTAGAACATCGTGTTGACAGAGGGTCTCAGACTACAGCAAAACCAGGCCAGGCAGGCAGACCCCAGCTCTTCTAGAGAGCATCAGAAGTGGGGCCATGAGCAGAGCCCAGCAGCACCCACAGGGAAGGAGGGAGTGTCAGGCTTACTTTATTGGAGGAATATCGTCTATCCTGTTGCCCAGCTGTGATTCGTGGGACTTGCTCCTTGTGAGCGTTGGAAAGTTCGGTAGCAGCTGAAAAACCTTCCGGCAGGGGGGCGGAGGAGTCCGTGGTGGCTTCACCTTGTGCCGCCTCTTGGCTTGAGGAGTGGTGGGGGGGGTGATGGTGATGCTGTGAGGAGTCCTTGGCGTTAACCTGCCACTGTGTGTGGGGAAGGTAAAGGGGTCCAGGAGGTTATCTGCATAGATAGAGGGTCCGTGGCTCGAAGCAAGAGAGTCCGAGGGCGGGATTGTGGACACGGATGCAGAACGTGCCTGGCCGCTGCCCCTGCTCGGGTGCAATGCAGGGCTGGGGGTCCCCGGCGGTGCAGAGGAGCAGGGGGGCTCTGGCGGGCTCGTGGAGCTGTTCTCTCGATGGCTCTCCGCAAGATTCATCAGCGGGTCGTCCTTCAGCTCCCCACCTGGCCACCAACCAGAGCAGGGTTAGTCAAGGGGGTCACCGTCTCCACGGACGGCGCGCGAGGCAGACCAGTGTTTGCATCCTCTGTCTCACGTCCACGATGGTGTGAGAGGGGAAAGTTACTCTGTTAGCCAGCTGGATTCCTAAATCCCACTGTATGGGCCCGAGAAAGGCGCTGGACAGGGCACGGGGAGAAGGGAGGAGCCCCAGGCACCGCTTGGGCACCTCTCTCTGCGACACGTGAGCGCTGCCAGAACTTACCGGTGCCGGTGTGGGGGGCACGGCAGGGCACAGCGGGCAGGGAGAGCGCAGCAGCGCTCAGCACCAGCCACTGTGCTGGCGCGGGCCCTTGGAGCCGCAGCTTGGCCAGGGACACAGAGCGGGGCACAAAGGAAACAAAGCATCACGCGGGGTGCGCGGGAGCCCAGCGCTCGGCGCTGCAGGCCGCAAGTGCCAGGGCACCTCTGCGTGCACAGGGAAACCCACATGCTGGCGCCTGCAGGCAGCGGAGCCGGAGCCCGAGCCGGAGCGCAGTTACTGCGGCGACCGCAGAGCTGCAGCTCCGCACTGTAACTGCTTGCCTTAATTTCAAGCATGTCCTTAACCATTTACAAAAATCAAGATGGAAAGTCAAGGCTTCAAGCCCTGAAGTTATATTGACAGTGAGTGGTTGAACATACCTAGTTTCAAAAACAGCCGTCATACCTCTCAAAACACCAAACATTTTTAAAGGAAGGGAGACAAACAATAATGTATTTACTTAAATGTGAGTTAATTTTATTGCAGTAAATTGCCTTGCCTCCTGAACAGCAGCTGCTTTTGCCACAGTACACCAGGAAAATATCTGATGGCCCAAAACAGAAAGACTACAAAAAGGAAATAAGAAATTGAGTTGTTTTGCTGGCTTTTCCATTAACTAGTCTTCATGACTTGTGGGTGGTATGAACTATTATAACACCAACAGGAAACATCACCCTGCAGACAGATGGATGTGCTCTGCAGTGTGAGGTGCGACATGCCTCAGTGCCAGTGTGCAGTGAGAAACCCCCTCATCCAGCCTGAATTTGCAGGCACTTGGAAACAGCCTGAGGAGGAGGCGGGGATGAAGGTGAAACAGCATTCTGACACCATGGAGTTTAGCATCTAAAATATTTCTCCAGCCCCATGTGCATGCTGAACATGCACATTTCTAGTTATACAACCCTCTCCTTTCTGCAGCTTCTGGTTGATTGGGTTCACTCTAGCACATACATCTGCTCTTGGTGGTTGGCTACCGATTCTCCTGACTCTAGCAGCCGGTAGGAAAGACAGCAGGTGGGAAGAGGTTTGAAACAGGAGCGAAGCCATGGGCACGGACAAGCCATGGCACTGTCTGGGGTTCTGCAGCTTGTCTCTCGTGAAAGGGAACAGGATGGGGCTGGAGTTACTGGGGACCAAATCTCATAGAACAACGAGGCAGCTGGTACCTGATTCCGTCACCTTCCTCAGGCAGCTCAGGGCCCCGTTGAGTCTGGAGCACTCCTCGTCCCTGGCACCACATCTCTTCATGGTTTCCTTCACCTTTGACTCATTCATTTCTAGTAAGGCATCTAAGGTTAGCTCTTCTGGGATTCTCTGCAGAAAAAAAGATACATTGATATATGTAGAGATACGCCCATGCACACACACAAATGTATGAATAAAGTTATGCATGTGCACACACACATATGTACACATAAAGACGGCCGTTCTGCTGCGTTTTGGGCAGTGCTGCTGCCTGCTCGGGCTCACGACCGCTCACTTGGTGGTGCCTCCCCAGGGCCAGGGGGCAGCACTGACCGTGGCCGTGACCGCGCAGCAGTCACGAAACAGGGTTGTAAGAAAACGGGAAAAATAAATAGATAGACTTAGCTGTTCAGGAGAGAAATTAAAAGTAAAAACAGTGAGGAAAATGGTTTCTTTCACTAAAAATATGTAATGTTTTGATAAAGAGTTTCCTCCTCAAGCCATTTTTTCTCCACTGGAGAACCCACCTTACTCGTATCTTGCTTGAAGAGACATTTGCGCAGACTCCCTGTGCGGCTTCACGTGCCAAAGCCCCCAGATGACGGGGTTTAAACCATGCGGGCACGAGGCATTCAGGACATGGGAAAGCGAGCAGTGACCTGCTATTTCCAGACAGAGCTGAGGCCTGGGGCCTCCCTCCTCCCCAGTTCATGTGTTTCCAGTGCAGCAATTGTGCCTGATAAACAAACCCAGGATACATAGCCCAGATACCCAGGAATTTCCCTTAAAGTTTTGCCTAAACAAACCTCCCTGCTGCCTGCTCTTACAATGAGATCACAAATTTCACAACATTTGGCCTCTTTCCTACAGTTCCGACTCCCGTGATCATGTGAAGTAATAGAGGTTTCCAGGCTTTTATTTAAAGGGGAAACTCAAAAGCATGTCTCACTGACAGGAAAAAGCTTGAAATCGTACAGATACCTAGAGCTCCCTACAAGCTCTAACGGCTGTAAATCAGCTGCTGTGCGTCCTTTAAAAGCACATCTTTCTTAATGCAAACCTGTGCACCTGGGACCTCACCCAGGGCTTTTAATTTCAGCTATGACAGTGCTACAAACAGCCCCAACCTCCAGAGCTCGGCACGCTGTAACCCGCAGTAATCGCATACCTTCTGTTCTAGGTGACTGTTATCATGCAGCAAAGGAAAATAAAAAAAGCAAGAAAGACAGCAGTAAGTCTGAGAAATGCACCCATGTCTTCGGTCACAAGCCAGGAGGAGACACAAAGTGCAGCCGACGTGAGCGGGCGAGGACGGAAAGCGCCGGGAGCAGAGCAGCTCCGAGCAGCCGGAGCTCAGCAAAGGTGCGGTACATTTTCATTTTCTTTTATAACTGATTAGAGGAATAATAATGGTACAGATTCCCCAGACCCACATTGTCCATTTTCCTGCACATCTGCACCTCCTAGATGTGGGAAAAAACAAGTCCCCCCAGACAGCTTGTTCCCAAGTGACTTCCACTTGGACAAAAAGCAGGAAAAAAAAAAACAACAGGAGCAACAAAGAGCTTCCCCCAGGAAAGGAGGCGGCGAGGCCGAGACCCTGCTCTAAGAGCCGTGGCTCTTGTTCCACTCTCGGCCACCACTTCCACCTCTGCACAGGGACTTGCTGCAGCTCTCAAAGGGAGTCAGAAAAGGAGTGAGGGGCTGGGGCCTGCCCGGCAGATCCGTCCTGGGGCTGCACCAGGGTCCAGCCACCCTTTCACCCACTGGTTTAATTTTAGAAAGACAGAATAGCAAGTTGTAGGAAAGTATAAGTACAGAAAAGGAGATTATATTTAAACAATCCCAGTGACCTTGAGCTGAAAGAGCTCAGACTTTGTGGACCTGCTGCCAGCCCCCATGACACGCGACAGGAGAAATAAGCCTCCAAAGCAGGGAGGGAGGCACTAAGAGGCTTTCTTCGAACAGCCACTCGTGCTGCACATATGCTGTGGCTTAACCAAAACTGGTGAGCCCGAGCCCTGCAAGAGGGGCTTGGGACAACCCCCTGGCCAGCGCTGGCTACCGCGATGGTGCAGAGAGCCGCCGGTGCAGGAGCTGCCGCGGGCGCCGGGACGGAGGTCCCTGCGCGTTCCCGGCGCTCCTGCCTGCTCGGCCCGCACAGGCCCGGGCCACACGGCTCCTCCACGGCCCTTCTGGCTGCTCCGGGGCAGCCCCAGGAGTTTGGGCCCCTTTGGACCAGGCTGAGGCCCCTCCCCGCCGTGCCTGCCCCGGGATGGGCAGCAGGGTATCCAGGGCTGCAGTGGCGGGCGGCCAGCTTAAACAGCAGGAAGCAGGAGCCTGCAGTCATTTCAGCAGCTGCCACAGAACCTAATGTCTTAGTCAGCTAAACGATGCTAAAAAAGCCCAAAGCAGGAAATCATCCCTTCTCAGAGCAGGTGAAGGACTTTTCTACACCCCCTGGCTTATCAGACATTCACACTCCACAGCAGGCTTGTTCAGAAGTGAGAAACCAAACCACAGAGCAGCCGAGAAGCCAGCCAAAGGTTACTCTGAATTAGCCAGGGAGAAGAGTTCATGGCAGTGTAAGAAGGGCTTTAATCTTGTCTGGTATCCAACTTAAATCCTTGAAACAAGGCAAAAATGCTGCTACCTAGCACACAGGATGGGTTATTTTTGGTAAAATTCCTTCCTGCAGTGAAGCCTACAGGGCTAATGCTCCTGCTAGTGCTCAGGAAAAGCAGTGTGACCTGCCCCTCGTCCCACGCTGCTCCCATGCAGCCAGGCAGGTGCCAGGGCCCCACGTGCCTCCTCTTAAATCAATACCTACCAGCCATCCTCCCCTACAGACGCAGATGCTGGGAGAGAAAGCCCATTACATAAGGTGCTTAATTCCTGCTGGGAGCTCTGAGCAGAGCACGTAAGGATGCGTTTAAGAACATCTTGTTCTGCTGGGTTTTATTCTGCTCTGGCTTTCTAGAGAGTCTAATGAGGAAGGCACTGAAAAACCCTTGTATTAGAGTTCTGGAGAGTTTATGTGCATTACGGAAAAGCCTCTTGCGTGAAGTGTCTGGATCATCCCGGGGCCACAGCCCGAGCAGGTCAAGCCGGGCCACAGGGCCCGGCAGCGCCCGGCACTGCTGCCCTGTCCCGCAGCCACGCTGGGGCACCCAGCGCTGCCCTGGCCCCTCCGGGCACCACTCCCGCCTCCCTGCACAGCACCTCGGACAACACAGCTCCCGCAGCCACCAGCAGGTGCTCAGGGATCGGTTCTGTGAGCTGGGCGGCACCTACACCCGCCGGCAGAAGGGCTGCGAGGCAGAGCTGCCACCCGTGCGCGGTGTCACCTGCACCTAGGTGAGCCGGCGGTGGCTCCGGCAGTGGTGGCCCTGGTGGCAGTGACTCTGGAGGCGGTGGCCCCAGCAGCGGTGGCCCCGGCTGTTCTGCACACACCAGGCCGGGATTTTCCCCTCCCATACACGGCAGGGGCTGCACTAAAAACAGCTTCCCAGGCTTGATTGACTGGAACCCCTGCTTTGCACAGAGCAAGGCTGGTTGAGACACGTCGCAGAGCGTGATAAGGAGATGGCTACTTCTTAAATTACTTTCTACGATGGTGACAAATTCTAAGCGAGAAGAAACTGAATTCTGAAGTTTCTGGAAAGAGCAAAGGCAGAGAAGTGTTTTATGTACTACAGAAAATAAAGCGATGGAGTTTGTCTGCTCCTCTCTTCTTTTTGGGAGACAAGTCCCAAATCCAGAGCCAGGTAACTTGGATGTGCAAGAGACCCCCCTAGCACACAGACAACAGGGATGACAAACCCTGTTCCCAGCCTCCTGCCTCCCACTGCCCGCTTGAGTCCAGACCCTGGTTGTCAGTGGTGAGAACAGCCATCCAGAGCAGTGTGTTTTCCTAGGCACATTTTCAGAGCAACTTTCATCCTTAGGAGACCACTAGGTTACTTAAATACAGCTCCCTGTCCACACGGTTCCTTGTCCTACCTTCTGTAGTTGTCAGTTCAAATATCTCCTTTCCCAGGACACCACATTTAAGTCTTTAGGCATTATTTTCTGTAATGAGCTACACATACACAGTGCTAATTGACTTCCAGAGCCCCTCATCAAAACACCACCATCATTCTCTAGAAAACACTTGAAAAGCAAACTGCAGAACAAAATTAGTGTGTCCCCAAGGCAGAACCTGCTCGTGCCAGCCGCCGTTCTCCGCGATCTGTGCGGCAGCCCGTTAGAGGCATCAAAGCAAGGGAAGGGTAGGGGAGGCCGGTGGCTGCAGGGCTGTGCTGCCCCGCGCTCGCAGCGGTCCCGAGCCAGCCGCTCAGCCCGGTCGTGCTCGGCACCTACCTGCAGGTGTGCGGGCCGGGCGCCCAGGGGGCCCTCTGCCCGGCGCAGCCCCGCGGCCCCGCTGCTCTCCGCCTTGGCGGCCGTTCTAGCCGTCACCCAGCGCCACAAGCACTGCATGGTCACACTGGAATCGCTTCCAGAACTAAAGCACTTTACAAGCCATCATTATTCTTGCTTAATATAGAGATTTTTCACAGAGAGAAAGGAGCCCAACAAGACAGCAGTTGTAACAGCAAGAGCTTTCCAGCTTCACGACGTCTGCCACAAGCCGCCGAGTGAAAAATAGGCTTCGCTCTGGACCTGGGGAGTCAGCAGATAGTCTAAATTAGAGCTGGTGCTCTATTTCTGACAGGAGAGCCGGGCGCCTCTGGGCTTCCTGGCATGGAGCTTTATTCCGGAGCGGGCTGGGGGAGAGGGGAGGGAGGAGAAGGAGGGAGGGTGAGAAAGGCTGCTTTGTTTCTGTAATTGCTGGACTAAAGAGCTCCTTGCAATGAGGCTGTCTGCAAAGGTGTTATGTCAGAGATTGGAATAAATCTTGAAATGTTCCTTCCAGCAGCTCTGGAAATGCGAAGGGAATAGGGATCATTTAGAAAAGGAAGCAGACGTGAGCTCGGGCCTCTCACCCATCCCTGTCCCCGACAGGTGCGGTGTCCCCGCTGGGAGCTCTCACCTGCGCACGCCCCCACGCCGGCTGGGCTCGGATGCAGCTGGAGGCCTTTGAGGATCAGGTAGGGGACAGTGCTCAAGTACTTGACAACTTTTCTCACTAGTTTCAGAACCTAAAGGTCTCTCAGACAAGAGGGGTAGGTACCTAACATCCAAGTGTTATTGCAGCACTTGCAGGGTCTCCCTTTCTCTACAGTGCTCTCTGAAAGCATTTGGAAGCAAAGCCACCGTGATTATTTGAGTTTTGTAGATGCAGTCATTCCCCCGGATCACCCTGTGCACCGGCAGCAGAGCCAGGCTTGGCACCCACGTGTCCCCGCTGTCACCATCCACCTGCTGAGCCGGCTCTTGAGGAGCTCCCTGAGCACCGCTCTCCCCAGGCACGTCCCAGGCGGCGCTGCTAAAGCCAAGAGCAGCCACTCCATAAGAGTTAACCTCTTAAAGCTGCTGCTGCGGGTGCCCGCACAAATGGTGGGCTGGGCCAGACAGCACTTGCTCCCTGAGTTAGCAGGATGTGGTCTGAGCGTCCTTCCCCCGCCTCCTCCCTGGTTGTGCCGGCACCAGAGGATTTCACCGAGCTCAGAGACATTCCTGCAGGCTCAGGCAATTCCAGTAACCCTAGAAACCAACAATAGCTGGAGCCCCATGGCCACAGCACCAGGATGCTATTCTCCCTCCTTGCCATTCCTGCACTTCCAACTCCACCGGCCAACCTTGGCTAGGGGGCTGCAAGGCAACCTCCATTTAAAGGCATCACATCTGACATTAATATTAGTAAATAAAAGGAAAACTAAGTCTTGAACTTAGCCTATTTCACCAGAATCTGCTCAGTTAACATTAGCAATCTGCAGTTGTTCAGCACATGTGCTGAATTTTTCATGCAGTCTTTTTACAAGCGGATTCCTGTTGAAGTCTAGGAAAATCTTTGCAAAGATCAAAGGAAACACTGCGACGTGGTCTGCAGAACCAGAGTGGGCAGCAGAATGCAGAAACCCCTTTCTGCTTTGCTAGCCCTCCGTGGACTGAGCTCTACTAACGCTGCCATTAATGTTTCACTGACCTGAGCACTACCCAGTCATGCACAGCCCAGACCCAGAGAGCAATCTCATATCTGTGCCCTGCAGTCCTGGGGTTTCCAGCAATCACCTAACAGGGACATGATTTCAGGCTCTTCTTTTAAAAGTGTGTCAGACAGAGGACATGGAGGCCTTGGTTTATTTGGTTACTTCTGATTCCAGTGGAAGTATTGGGTTATTTTGTGCAGTAGGGACTTGTAGTGGTCAGGAGTGATCTGCATGTGAAGAATCATACCGTAAAGAATTTGTAAAGACCAGAAAGAGCCAGGTCAGTGAGCACAAACATCTGATGTCTGCCACCACACAAAACACCAGAGCAGAGTTAGTCATTCCATTCTTTTACACTGATGCAATGCCCTTTGATACCAGGCTGAGCACAGCCCTTACTCACCGTGCAGGGGGATGTAACAGAGAAAGATTTGTTTCTGAGCACGACTCCCACACACTCCGGATTCAGACCACAGCCTCCCACTTCTGCACTGCTGCGGATACTGGGCACAAGCCATTTGTTTTTATAGTCCGAGTGCTGTGTGAGTTTCTGAACCATCAGTCTGAGCCAAACTTGTAAACTCTGGCCACTCTTAGGTCAATTTAAGTTTAGAGAGGTTGGAGCTACTGGCTCTCTTTGGATCTTCACTGATGTATAATTATGACATGCAACTTTCAGAAGTGAGAAAAATCTTAAGCTTTAACAACTTTTAACATTTTTGTCCATTTGTTATGTTTGTCAGCATACAAAATTCTAACTGCAGTTCCCTTTTGGGCTAGTACAGCACTGAGAAGGTTGCATGGGACTGTGTTATTGTGTTATTTTCTACCACCTTCTTTGTGGTGCCTTCTTGGACCCTGCAGGCAGGAGAGGTCTTGGTAAGGCCCGCAGCGAGCAGGAGGCATGCAGCTCTGCTTGGGTGCTGTTATTTACTGTCCGTGCTGCGTGTGGGAGGGCAGCATTCCCGCACTCCCTGCGTGCGGGAGGCAGCATCCTCTCACCAAAGGCCCACGCTGCCCCGCGGCCAGGGAGCCGAGCAGCAGCCGCCGGCCCCGCGCGGAGGCTCCGTGGCCAGGGCTGTCTCCCCCTTACCTGCACAACTTCTTTCCTCACGTTGACAATGTCTAACCAGTCATTGAATCGCGGGTAGCTGTTGAGCTCTGCAGTCCTGTCGTTGAGGGGCACGCTTAGCTTGCACTGCCGCTGTCTATGGATGTAGTCGATCAGCTTCACCTGTTGGGACCCAAAAAGCAAACAGTTAAATCCTCTGGGATGGGTCACCCTCCTCTCAAACTTCCATAGGAGAGAAGGGGATGCGGGTTGGTGAGGGGGCCATACAGCACTACAAGCCCTCAGCAGCCTTCACAGAGCAAAACGGTTCCTTCTACCGAGCGTCTCTGCTCTGCAACGTTTCGGGGTCCTTCCTGGGTCCACCCCGCAGGCCCCTTCTTCAAACTCCCCTCCACAAAACTGCTCTGCAGTGGTTGGGTTTGCTGCCAAAGTGCACAAGGGCAACCAAGCCGCTTGAAAGGATCAGTGACATTGGGTTTAAAAGCGACGCACGTGCACAGGGAACAGTGTCTAACTGTGGACGCTGCGCTCCGACCTGCAGGCCTTCCTGCCCTCTCATCCACTCCTCCCACATGTTTGTTATACCCTTAGCATCTGGTCTCCGTTTAGACTCCGAGTTCAGTAAGGCTGGAATAGCCAACAGCTCGAGGACTCAGGCACTTTATCTGATACACATTTCTTTTACAAAGCCAAGAATAAAAAGAACAAAAACTAAAGCTGTTATCACCTGACCATCGTATGCCAAAAGCACTACACAGAAATCATCACTTCAGGCACAGGAAACACAACCACAAAAGGAATATTATTTGCGCCCATGTTTGCTTATCAAAAAAGAAAAAGCTCTCCAAAGCCTTCTCGCTCTGTCACACGTTCCCCTGGGCAGACTTAAGCTTCAAAAACTTCTTAACAAAACAATGCCTCAAAGCAAGTTACTGATCCCTGCTTTATAAACCAAACCATGCCGTTAGTCAACCAGGAATTTCAGCACTTGGGACCAGACTACAAAAGGGAAAAAGAAAAAAACAAACAAAACCACCAAAGTTACACGCGTGAAAGAAAATTAATCACTCCCTTCTTCTCCAGATAAAGGATGCATCAGATACGGGAAGGGAAATGGCTATGGCCTTTGATCTCCAGGAGTAACCTCCACATGGAGCACAACACTTTGGAGCTGCACACCAGTTTGGAATCAGTGCCTCCCATTACCTGCCAGTGACTGTCCTGGCAGCGCGGTGGAGCCGGGCGCGCAGTGGCTCATGCCGTGGGATGCACAGCCCGATGAGCCGGTAAGCAGTGGTGTGAATACTCACCAGCAATACAGCAGGAGACCTCTACACACCCCTGAAATCCAGGCAACGGGACCAACCTCCCCTGGATGGGACTTAAAAATCCAAGAACCAAACCCCACTGGCCCTCCCCATTCATCTGCCTTTACTGAAAGAGGAAAATTCTCCTTCTCCCTTGTGCCCCGGGGGCAGCCCATGAATGTGTAGCCAATGGGCTGGGCCACGTGCTGGCTAACACAGCGAGGCCCTGCGTGGGTGAGAACACAACATGCCCAGGGACACAGCTACTGCGGGATGCATGAGCAGGAGGGACCTGGCTGCGCCGGGCAGCTCTGCTGCGCCCTGCCCCTTTGGACACCGCCAGGGCTTCCAGCTGCAGAGACGGCACTGCGCGACCACGGCACCGCGGCCACAGCCAGAGCCTCCCCGGCAGCTCAACCGCTTTGCCTGCCAAATGCTCTGGGTGCAGCAAGCAGCGCTGTGCAGCTTGAGATGCATTAATGCAACCAAGAGAGGTAACTCAGACCCTTCACATAGCGCACAGAGGCTGCAGAGCAGTGCCACTCCTGGGAGAGGCAGCTGCACTAGACGACTGCTGCATCCTGGAAGCCTCAGCCCCTGCTTTGCATTTGCAGACTGACCACCCAGCTGAAACCAGAGGAACCTTCTAACCGTAACTTTCTAACATGACTTTGGAGCATAAAACCGATCAGAAATCACCTTGGAAATCCCTCTCAATGTTTCTTGGTTTCGGTACCTCTTTTATAAGGGGATGATGGTGCTTCCTTGCTCAGCCCCTCTGCCTGCGCTCTCACTCAGACCCTGTCTCGGGCAGCTGCTCCCTGCGAGGTGGCTCAGGCCACACTGGGGCCGTGCACGATGTATGTGGGGAGCTGCCAACCTCCGCCAGGCCCCTCTGCTCGCTCGGCCTCGCGCGGCTGCTCCTCCTGGCTAGGCAAGGATGTCCCAGGACAGAAAGGAGCTGAAGACACTTTGCAAAGTATCTCCCAACTGCTTCGCTTCCATTTGCCCTGCTGCTCCCCGGGGGCAAGAGCCAGGAGTCAGCAAGGCGTCCAGGCTGTGGGGCCACTCCAAGGAGCGCCTGGTGCCCTTGCAGGCACATGCAGGATGCTGCGCTCCTGCCGCTGCCCCACGTCACCCGTCCCCGTCCCGGGGCGTTCTCCGGGCTGCGGAGCACCTCGGGAAAGAAGAAAGGTTGTTTGCACAGTCATTTTGAAACTGGTGCAGCCAGCTGCGACAGGCCTATGTGTAAAAGTAAGAGCCTGGTTCCTCCATCTCATCATAATCTGCTGGCTTAGCGCAGGACCTCCTAACAAGCGAGTTCATTTTCCTGCAGGAAGGACAAGATGTCAGCACGGAGCTCCAAACTTACATACAAGCAGCACGAGGGATACACAAATCCTTGAAAGCAGCCCACGATCCCATGCCCAGCACACGGTGACAGCGGCAGGGAAAGGGTTGGGATTCTGCTCCATCCAGTGGTGGGAGGTGGGTGGACTTACCATCTATATATAAACGCAATCACAGTAAAGACAAGAAGCTGCCCACAGGGCCACACAGAGCGTTGCACTGGAGGCAGGTCCCCTGGGCGCCCGGCTCCGTCACATGCACCTGGCACCGTCCCCTGCCCCGCAGGCCGCACTGTCTCGCCCCTGCGTGTTGCATGAGCTCCCTGGCGTCGCCGCTGCTTCACTCCTTTTGTACTGCTTAAAACAATGGGGCTGCAAATACAAGCACGTAGTGAGGCCAATCCATGGCACAAGCTCCTGGAAGGACACAACATGAAGCATGCACAGCAACATGGAGTTCAATGGCAAACATTTCTTCTTCACTGGAAAAGCAGCCGGGCAGCGCAGATCTGAGCATCTCAGAAGGCCACGTCTGCTTTTCCCATGCTAACTCCATGCGTTCACTCTTCACGTCCCAAGTTGTTTTCCTCTATTCCTATAAATAGTCCATCTGCATTCTCTTCCACCCCAGATACACCACGTTCTCCCCTAGGATGAATCTCATTCTGGTACTTCCTGCTCAGACTTTTCACTAAACTGCATGGTTTGGCTTTAATAGCTGAGCTCTTGCAAAACCCTCTTCTGAGAATATAATAAAACTTCTGGGTTCAGTGACGCACATAAAAAACCCACAAACAACATACAGGTCTCCAACCACAAACTAGGCAGAGAGATAAAGCCCCGAGTAACCTTTTCACTGCCTGAACGGCATCTCCCCAGGAGCCCAGCAGCAGAGCGGGGCCGACACCTGGAATGACGGGGATGGGAAGGACGGGGGCAGGAGGGGACGCGGAGCAGCCGGAGCCACCGCTGCCTGCGCTGGACGGCCGAGGGCCGGGAGCTGCTCCCTGCTCGAGCACGGGGCTCAGGTGCAAGGGCCTCATGCACACATCCACCTGCTGCTTACAGCATTTTGACATCTTTGCATTCAAGTCCCGCCACAGCAAATGGGAGAAATGGGCCCAGAATGTATAGGAAGAAGCAGCCACACTTGTACTTGTTTGGGTAAAACAAAATAACCAGCCAGGCCTCCAGAGCCGCCAGTTCCCTGCCCCTGGAGATGGAATCTCACCGAGCCCGAGAGCACCTGAGGAGACAATAAACAGGAGGGCACACCAGTGCCTGCAAGCCCACGAGCAGGCGGTGCTGGGTAGCTCAGCAAGCTGCTCCCTGGAGCTTTCGAAGGCCCAGATCAAGGTAGGACCCTGCTCTTACATGTGGCTAAGAGGAATGCAGATCACACATCTTCCTTCAGAGGGGAATTAACGGGGAAGGAGCTGCCCTATGAACCTCCGGCAAACAGGGCCCTGCAGCCGTGTCCCCACCTGCTGAGGGAGGAGAGCAAGGCCCCGCGCAGCGCATGGGGAGGCGCCCTGAGTCAGCTCCGGCGCTCAGTGAAAGTGGCTGCACGTCACACGTCCCCAGTGCCACTGTACAGACAAGCCCTACGTCCTTGAGGACACTCTGCTCGCAGTCACCGCGGACTGGCGATGGGAAAGGGGGCGCGAGGGGCCAGGGGCACTTGGCCGGCGCGGGCAGTGCCCTGCAGCGGGAGCCGAGCACCGCGAGGAGCCGCCGAGCCCAGGCGCCTCCCGCCGCAGCGGGCGCCGTGGCCGCGCAGCCCCGCGGTTGCAGCTCGTGCCGGCGCATGACCCCTGCGCCAGCCACGGCTGCAGCAGCATCCCGCTGCCCTCGTCATGCCATGCACTGCCTCGCCGGCCTCGCTTCTGCATGGTGAAGGAAATAGTTTCTCAATGCGTGGCCCAATGCGGCCTGCAGAACAGCACCCAGCACCAGACAGCAGTGAGGCACCACCAAGGGACAGCCAGCAAAACAGCAAAGAGCTCTAAGAAAAAATCAGCAACAGGGCACAGAGGAGAGCTGGCTGGATTTTCCTTGGAGCCTGCGGCCCTGCAGGAGGCTGACGCAGGAAGCGCCGCTGCGCAGAGGGCAGGGTGCAATTTCTGCTCTGTCAGATGATGCACACAGCATCCCTTCTGGGTCACTCGGAGGCCACGCACTACCCCTTTTCTTGCCTTTTTTCTTTTTTGCTCCACGGAGCTGAGAAGCTCTGCCGAGGCCCGTGTAGCGTGGGGGCTGGCGCGGCTCTCACCGGGGCCCCGCTCCAGCAATGCGGCACTGCCGAGGCTGGAGCCCCCCACGCAGCCCGGGCACCATCCTCCGCTCGAGCATCACAGCTTTCACAGGCAGCACACACTAAAACTGAAAGTCCTTCTCCTTCCTTATAACCTGCGACGTGCAACGGCAGCGGGCCGCTTACGAGAGCTCAGCAGAGACGGGCAGACTGTGGCACTGAACCTGATATTTAAAAATAGAAATCCAGCTT